TGGTGTATGATGAGTGGTGTATGATGAGTGGTGTATGATGAGTGGTGGTTGAACAGCTGTTGAATGTCCGTAACACGGAAGTTTTGCACACTAAACTTCCTTTGACTAGTAGCGTCCTTGCTCCTAGTAGTACGGCCAGGAGCCCCTACTAGCGTTCTTGTTCACATATCTACCCATTTTGAGGCTACCCTATGGCCGAAACAATAGGAGTACACAAAGCACCACAAGTTCACACATCCCATGAACAGATTGAGCACTGTACCCTGTCACTTGGAGTCCAAAAGTTACCGCCTTCCATCACCTTCCCCTACATATGCCCGCAGCTGCTTTGCTTCCAACCATAGCTGGGTTAGATTTGAGTCCTCAATACAGAATCTCCAACCATACTAGCGACGGTTTTCAACCTACTAGCGATGGCCTCCAACCCAAGAGTTACTCCATGTGTTGAAACCTGTCAGCCAAGGGATTGCTGTCAGCCTGCATCCACTGGATCCGGCCGCCTCGCCACAGGCAGGACTTCCGACTCTCCAACACCAAGTGCTATTGCTGCACCGTGAAGCACGTCACAGTCGCTTGGATCCTGGAGGGTTGGGAAAAATCGACCGTATTGGGGATTGAAGGGTTTGACAAAAGAAAGTGAGATGTTGATTTGTCCAGGTTTTGATGATCATCAACAAAGATTGGAGGGTTTGAAACATGTTTCAGAGATGTTGATTCTCCGGAGTGTGTCATGCTTCGTGGGTTCCATGTGATCTACGGAAAATGGGAAGGGCTGAGGCCCGGTCAGAAACACTGGCCCGGAGGTAAGGCTGAAGAAAGTTGTGTTGACTAGACTAGAGACTAGAGAACATGGTATCGTGGGACTAGAGTGGCCAGATGTGCCAGGACGTTGAAAAAATCCAACGCTGCAGCACCATATGATTTTTCACAAACAAGCCGTTGTCGAGGGTGTGTGTGTGCCCCTTGTAGTCACAGGGATTCTTTTGAATTGGGATTAAACTTGCTTTTGTGTCAAGCAGGGGCACTGAGCACTCCTTGGCAAACTCAGTGCAACGAAGCTATGCCTTGGAGTGGGATGCACGGACTGATCATCCGTGTGTGCCTGCAGGTTTACTTGAGACATTTCATCATGGGCCCTGCTTCTAACTAGAACAAGATTTCCAGCCTTTGCAACGGCTCTTCATCGGCAGATGTGCATTGTCGCTTTGGATGTGTCGATTTGGAGTTGGAGGCCGCGTAGGCTTTGAGAGGTTTGGAACCCCATACTTTACCTGTCCTGGCTTCTGAGGCTTTTCACTTAGGCTGGCGTGTGGCACCGCATTCACATCCGTATGCATTTCTATAAGTGTGTCTCTCCCCGTGAGAGCCCAGGGTGAGCCCGAAGAGTGCCCACTGTGGACCCGTTGAATGGGCGTTTGTCGTTGTCTCCCCTGCCCGGAGATGTACGTGCCCAGAGCGGGCGTAGGTGGCCTAGGCCGAGAGAACTCCGACTTATGTCTTACGTTTGGAATTCCAAGTTGGCTTATGCCTTTACGTGACCGCAGCGGTCTGACCAGCCAGCCATTTTGGCACGGCAAACGTGGCCGTAGCGGCCCAAGTTTGTCTAGACTCATGGGAGTCTGTCGTGAGCTTAGGTGCACACACAGCACGTACATGTTCAACGAGGCTTGCCTAGGTTCTTTAGTGAGGCTTGGGCTCATTGGTTTGCATCCCGTCCCCTCCATTTGGTTCCCTTTTCATCCTTTTCCCCTTCACACACCTCTGTTCTCCTCTTTTCTTTCATGTCCTCCTGTCTTCATGTCTTTCATCTCATCCTTTCTTTCGTTTGCGCGCACATTGGTCCCGGCCTTAGCGTGCACGTGCACAACTACATGTACTTTAAACTCAGGTTTTGGGCGGCCCAGGTGTTTATAATGAGGTGGGTTTCATTGTTTGTCCCTGTGCGCTTGGTTCCCCTTTCATCACAACCACACGCACCTTTGTCCCGTCCCGTCCTTCTGTCATGGCTTCATTACTTTGTCTCTTGCGCGCGCGCGCGCGCACGTGCACATTTGCCTTAACCTTAGTTTTACACCTCCCCTCGGGGAGGCGTGTGTATGTGTGCCCCTTGTAGTCACAGGGATTCTTTTGAATTGGGATTAAACTTGCTTTTGTTTCAAGCAGGGGCACTGAGCACTCCTTGGCAGACTCAGTGCAACGAAGCTATGCCTTGGAGTGGGATGCACGGACTGATCATCCGTGTGTACCTGCAGGTTTACTTGAGACACTTCATCATGGGCCCTGCTTCCAACTAGAAGAAGATTTCCAGCCTTTGCAACGGTTCTTCATCGGCAGATGTGCATTGTCGCTTTGGATGTGTCGATTTGGAGTTGGAGGCCACGTAGGCTTTGAGAGGTTTGGAACCCCATACTTTACCTGTCCTGGTTTCTGAGGTTTTTCACTTGGGCTGGCGTGTGGCACCGCATTCACATCCGTACGCATTTCTATAAGCGTGTGTAACCCTTGGAGTCACAGGGTTCCTCAGGGGTGTACCCCTTGGTCACAGGGTTCCGTTTGGAGTGTTTCGCTTTGGCTTTCATTTTCAAGCAGCAGGGGGCCAGGACTCCCTGGCGCGCGTCCTGGCCAACGAAGACCGCGCGCCAGGGAGGTGAAGCGTACCTGCTACTGTTAAACTGTTGATTGGTTGCTGTGGTCCCTTGGTTTGTTTCATGGTGGTTCATGTACCGGATGTTGTTCCAGGAGGTGTTTAGGTTTTCAGGTGATTCATAAAGGGCTAATGCACGTCTCGCCGTCATCCTGTCGCTCGTTCGTTTTTCGTTTTGAGCTCTGGAGATCTTTAACTTACCTGAACCTTAGGCGGTTTACTTAGGCTGGCGTTTGGCAACCGCTTTCGAGTCAGCACGCATGTCAATAAGTGTGTCTCCTCAGTGAGAGCCCAGGGTGACCCCGACGAGTGGCCCATGTGGACCTGTTGAACGGGGGTTTGTCGAACGTATCCCCTGCCCGGATACAGAGCAGCTCGCAGCGAGCGTAGGTGGCTTAAGCCAAAGTCATTTGCCAAGATTTGCTGAACTATTGAATTCTAAGCTGGCCGCCTTCGGGCATGCCTTTCGGTGACCATAGCGGTCAGAGCAGCCAGCCATTTTGGCACGGTGTACGTGGCCGCAGCGGCCGAAGTCATTCAAGTTTCATTGGAGCCTGTCGGGACCTTAGCCCCTCTCCTCCCCTTTCCCTCCCCTCTTTTCCTTTTTCCTTTTTCGGGATGTGGATGCTTTCGTCATAGCTGGGAACCCTTCTCTTCCTTTCTTGGTGTGTCCTTGGACGCTTGTGTCCTAGCTGGGAACATCGTCGTTTTCTTTGTCTTTTCTCTCTTCTCTCCCTACCCCTCCCTTCCTCGTGCACAGCGCACTTACAAACGAGGCCTCCGCAACAGGTTTTCAATGAGGTTTGGATTTCATCGGTTCTCGTCCCCTCCATTTGGTTCCCTTTTCTTCCTTTTCTCCCCCTCACACACATCTGTTTTCCTCTTTTCTTTCATGTCCTCCTGTCTTCATGTCTTGGCACTTCATTCCGTCTTTCCTTTGCGCACACATTGGCCCGGCCCTCTCAGTGTGTACGTGCACATCCACATACACTTTAAACCCAGGTTTCAGGTCGCTCAGGTTTTATAACGAGGCGGGGTTCATTGTTTGTCCCTGTGCACTTGGTTCCTCTTCATCGCAACCACGTACACCTTTGTCCTGTCTTGTCCCCTTTTCATGTCTTCATCTGTTTGTCCGTGTTGCGCGCACACGCGCATTCGCCTCCCCTCGGGTCAAGCAGCAGGGGTGTACCCCTTGGAGTCACAGGGTTCCTTTTGGAGTGTTTCGCTTTGGCTTTCATTTTTAAGCAGCAGGGGGCCAGGACTCCCTGGCGCGCGTCCTGGCCAACGAAGACCGTGCGCCAGGGAGGTGAAAACGTACCTGCTATTGTTAAACTGTTGATTGGTTGCTGTGGTCCCTTGGTTTGTTTCATGGTGGTTCATGTACCTGTTGTTGTTCCAGGAGGTGTTTACGTTTTCAGGTACTTCATCAGGGGTTAATGCACGTTTCGCCGTCATCCTGTCGCTCGTTCGTTTTCGTTCTGAGCTTTGGAGATCTTTAACTTACCTGTAAAGACTGTAAAGGGCTAATGCGCGTCTGTCGCTCGTTCGTTTTTCGCTTTGAGCTCTGGAGATCTTTAACTTACCGTAATACCTGAACCTTGGGCGGTTTACTTAGGCTGGCGTGTGGCAACCGCTTTCGAGTCAGTAAGCATGTCAACAAGTGTGTGATCGATATTGACTTCTAGATCCTATTGCTGTTGGCGGCTCGGAACGGCCACCAACGGCTGGTGATCCCTTTGAGACGATGAAGTCACTTCCAGGCCATCCCAGCTTCCACGCCCTTGGGTTTCAGCACCACTTGTTACCAGCTGTAGTGGTAGCTGGATCCATTGGGGCGGTTTTTTAAAGGTCACTCACTATAACCCCACTATTCGTCTTACTGTAAGTGTAAAGGAATGTGTAGAGAATGTACCTGTCCATTATGTAGAGAGAGAGAGAGGGCCAGCAATCCAGCAGTAGACAGCAAACAGAACATCTCCAACAAACGATTGAGAACAATGCTTCATTTTTGTAGTGCCCAACCCACTTCCTCCACTCGGATGGTTCAATTTGGAGACCATTGCGACTAGCCTTAGCTGAGGAGAAGGGTGTGCCATTGCCTTTGTGTGACCGCGAGATCCTGACGAAGTCTATTGGCATTTGGCCTCCCGGACTCAAAGAAGGGTACGTTTTGCGCAAACCTGGATCCGCAACACCATGTAGCTTGACCGCGGAGAGAGTCTGCAGAGAGTGCCCGTTCACCCGATGGGTTTGCCTTGTGAGGTTCGGGAGTGGCCTGAACTTCGAACAGGACGCCCGATCGGTGGTCCTGGCACCTTGGAAGCGGATGGGTGGTGTCCGAGGGGAAGAGAAGGGATGGAGAAGAAAAGGACGGGACTGGTGTCCGGTAGGCAGAGAAAGGAGTGCCCAAAAGAGAGGAGGAGTGGAGCTGGTTTTTTAGCAGGCTCGTATCGAAGTGACTCCAACCGGCCTGATGAGGGCACGAGACAACCCCAGCTGAGTTCTTCAGCACGAAGCACTGGTCGTCAGTGGCAGCCAATTTGTAGCAAGTATTGGTGAAGCTGCCCATGATGAGAGGAGTCTATGGGCAAAGAACCCTGAGATCCCAAATGAGCATCCCCCACTTCTGTGGCCGTGAGACATCCGTCAATTGCAAGGTCTTAAGGATCTGCAACGGGCAACTGGACTAGAAAAGGTGACGATGAAATAACCTGCCTTTGGGCAGTACTACTATGTTGATTTGGGAGATGTGGAGAAACGTCCTCAAAGAAAAAACAAAAAACATGGCAAGGCCGGTGGCCATGGGTCTTTCGGGGGATGTTCATTTGAGATACCTGCATGTTTTTCTTGAGTATAGGTTGACTTACCTTCTCATCAGTGGCAATTCCAGCCACGGCTTCCAGTTCTGTGAGCGGAAAGCGAAATTTGGTGAACCCCACTGTTCGTGACTGAGGGACAACCGTGGCGAGTTTTTGAACTCCGGAGCTCCTGGATTGGAATTGTGTCTTTTTCTTCGCTCGCCATCCACTGCGCTGCGGAAGACCTGCCGTGAACTGCTGAGGAATGCTTGACGGAGCAGCTGGGTCATAACTACTTCCCGTATTGGCCACTGGGCAAGACATCTGGATGGGGATGCCACACATGTGGCGGCGCTGGCTAACAAGTGTCTGGAGTCACCAGGGCTGGCGTTGTCGTTCGGTGTTTTCACGCCGTCGGGGCCGCGCCGTTTAGGGCCGACCGATGTCATGTCGGACCCGGTACTCGTTCCGTCCCAGTTTTGGGGGAAGACGAAACATCCAGATGTCCATGACAACAGCTGTACGTTCACAGTTTGAATGTTTCAAGGATCTGGCACTTGGGAACTTGGGAGCTGCAAGATTCTCCTGTTTCATTGGTATGTTTGAATGGATTGGGTTGCTTAAGCCTTAAGCTTCCCCTGGCACAGGAGAAAATGGTCTATGTCATTCATGCCGCTTGATACCAAGAACTCAGATGTCCAGCTTTCTCTTGTCTTGGGAACCCATGGTTTACACCAACACAAGCCTCAAAGGAGGCCAAGAAGGGCACCACGCTGTTCCGCGCTCGGCTTGTGTCCAATTGCTCGGCTTGATAGGTCGGTCCAATTGCTCGGCAAATCCAAGGAAGGAGCCGGATTTCAAAGCCCCGAAGGTGAAGAAACTTGAACATACATGGTCTCCTGATCCCCATATATCCTCAAAAAGATCATCACATACATCACCAAGAAAACCACTTCTCAGCTCGTCTTCTCCCACACCGGTGAACCACCCCTTCCGCTCCTTCCGGTCCGTTGCTCGGCTCGGCCGTTCCCCGGACCGGAGAGCAGGCTTTGGCTGGTGGCCACCTCTCCCATCTTGTGGATCTTCTTGGACATCACCGTGAAGTCCCAGTCCCGCGCCCCGGACGCGAAACCGTCTTTGAGCGGGGCGGAGAGAGGCGTTCCAGTTGGGGAGCGGGGCGGATGGAAACGAGGCGGAGAGAGGCGTGGAAAAGGTCTTTTGGGAAGACTGCGCAGGGTGGAAGGGTGGAGAATACCTCCGGAAAGGGGGTTCATCAAAACATATGAGGTACATTGAGGCACATCAAACCCCCCAAAAACTCGCAGTGTCCTCTAGTTCTCTCAAATTGGATGTCAATTTCTTTGGGTCCCACCAACAACGGGATGACATGGGTGAAATACCAATGACACCTCCTTCCACGGTCTCTCACCCGCCACCCAGTCGACGGGGTAGCAGGTCGGACCCTCAGCGGCCCTCCCCGTACGGCAGGGTCCGGTCCGTACGTTGTGGGTCAAGGCCCGGACCTTGGGAAAACGACCACCTTGGGACAGACAGAACAGACGACCTATAAGGGAGGTCGACCTACCAGCGTGAAAGGAGCTTTGGGTATTGACCAGGAGTCACAGGGCTTCCATTCTGCTCAGTTGGCTGGCCAAACCTCAAGGTCGGGTGGTGTGGTTTTTGGTCGGCTTTCCTTGGCTCCTGTCCTTTGGTTTGTGTTTGGAGAGGGGAGGGGATTTCGAGAACTTTCCTTTGCCGAAGGACAAAGGTATCCTTGAATCTGTAAAAATAGGGACTGGGTCTTCGAATGAGACGAGGGTTCGGACTGTCTTCTTTTCACTCCGTTCTGCACTTACACCAGTGACTGCAGGAAAAAGGATCACACAACCTTCCTGTGTGAGATCCAGGTAGGTGGCAGTGGGACGAATTTCTGTGTGGTTCGCCTTCCGTATTTTCAATATCACTACATGGCAATGGGTGGATCGGCTTATTTTAAAGAAAAACAGCGCATCTAAGCGGACCATCTGCCGGAAAAGTGATGCATCCAATCTCCTCAGCTCTCCTCAGCCCCTCCTGTCCCTTGCTCTCCACCGGGTGTGGCAGCCCCTCGCCGCGTGTTGCGCAGCATGCCGCATGCCGCGTGCTGAGGCCCTGGTGGTGCCTGGAGCGATCAGTGGCCTTTTTGGTTCATCTCGGCCTGGGGCTGGTGGATGGGTGCCTTTGCTGGACAACGATGGAGCGACGAAACGGAGCGACGAGATGGAGCGGAGCGACGACGACGGCTTTTGAGGAGCGGAGCGAAGAGGTTTGGGCGTCAGAGGTGACAGCTGCATCCGGATGAAGCGTGGAACAAGCAACGATACCGAGCCGGCAAAAAGGAGGTGCCACATGGTGTTTGCTTTTCGTCACATGGAGCCTCCACTGGGCTCCAGAATCCACAATTTAGACCACCCCACGAAGCCGACCACGCACGTTCTCCGAGGTGCCGTGCCCTGTTGTGGGGCCGCTTTTTTTCACATCTGCAAAGTCCTGCGTACGCCGTGGAAAACCCGTTGGCTCCTTGGTTTCGATGGGATTTGGTTCAGCCAACAGGAGGGTCTAGTTCGGTCTGGTGAGAGATTTGGGGCCATCTCCGGAGTGTGGATGAGTTCTGCTTGGCTGGGGCTCCAAAGTGAAGAAACGGAACCAAGAACCAAGCAGCGCTCTCGTTGGTAGACAAAATGGGGGCGCACTCGGCTTGAACAACGCACGTATTTGTATGCGAATTCAAACATGGCCGTGGCCTAGGTTAATCCCTTGCTGTTCTTTGGAGACATTATGTTTGATTCCCAAGGGTCCATGATCAGTAGGTTGGAGGCCATCGCTAGTAGTTTGGAGGGGCGGAGCCTCGTCTGTACACGCGGAATTTCCCTCGAATGTACACGCGGAGAATTGATCTCGTTTGTGCACGCGAAACTCGGATGTGCACGCGGCTTCCTCGGCTGTACACGCGGCTTACACGGCTGAAAAAATGAATGAATGAATGAATGGAACCCGACCAGATTGTTTCACAATCTGAACCTTGTTGTCTCATTTTACGTCCATCGCTTTAGATGCGCTGTTTGGGCTGTCAGATCCGTGGACGGGCACAGCGCGCAGACATGCGAGCTTTCATGCGGAACATGTGTCGTTATGATTTCGACAGGAAGCCACGTTGTTAAGTACCTTCACCTTAACACGTCAGAAGATGAAACGCCCGTCGGCTGCCATGCGGCGCCCCTCAGCCGTGAACCTGTGGAAGCAATGAGCAAAAAGAGATCATCATGTAGATGAATGTCCAGAGGGACGTCATTAACACCCCCCCCACCCCCCCACCCACCCCCCCATCCCAACCCAACATCATCAATCAATCGCAGAGCGTCTGTGTGACGTGAACCTGTGGAAGCAATGAGCAAAAAGAGATCATCATGTAGATGAATGTCCAGAGGGACGTTATTAACATCCCAACCCAACATCATCAATCAAACGCAGAGCGTCTGTGTGACGTGAACCTGTGGAAGCAATGAGCAAAAAGAGATCATCATGTAGATGAATGTCCAGAGGGACGTTATTAACACATCATCAATCAAACGTAGCAATGAGCAAAAAGAGATCATCATGACTCAATTTGTGTGTGCGCAAATGAGGCGAATCATGTGATTTGAGTTTGGGGTAACATGGGCTGTTTAAAGAGGAATGTAATCGATGTGTGCGCAGATGAGGCGAATCATGTGTGCGCATTTGAGTTAAATATATAAAAAAGTCTGTGTGCGGAATTGAGGGGAATTAGGTGTGCGCAAATGAGGCGCCATCCGTTTGGAGGCCATCACTAGTAGGTTGGAGGCCATAGCAATGAAAGTAGCTTGGAGGCCGTTGCTAGTCTAAGGAAGTTTAGTGTGCAAAACTTCCGTGTTACGGACATTCAACAGCTGTTCAACCACCACTCATCATACACCATTCATCATACACCACTCATCATACACCACTCATCATACACCATTCATCATACACCACTCATCATACACCACTCATCACGCACCACTCATCATACACCACTCATCATACACCACTCATCATACACCACCCATCATACACTACTCATCATACACCACTCATCATACACGACTCATCACACACCACTCATCATACACCACTCATCATACACCGCTCATCATACACCGCTCATCATACACCACTCATCATACACCACTCATCATACACCAGTCATCATACAACCACTCATCATACATCACTCATCATACACCACTCATCATACACCAGTCATCATACACCACTCATCATATACCACTCATCATACACGAGTCACCATACACCACTCATCACACACCACTCATCATATACCACTCATCATACACCAGTCATCACACAACCACTCATCATACATCACTCATCATACACCACTCATCATACACCAGTCATCATATACCACTCATCATACACCACTCATCATACACCAGTCACCATACACCACTCATCATACACCACTCATCGTACACCACTCATCATACACCACTCATCATACACCACTCATCATACAATACACTACTTATCATCCAGTTTGCTCTACCTCCAGTTGGCTCTAGTGTCAATAGCTCTAGCTCCAATAAGCTCTTAGTTTCAATAGCTCTAGCTCCAGTTAGCTCTGGTTTCAACAGCTCAAGCTCCAGGCAACTCCAGCTCCAGGTGCAGATTTCGTGGCAGGTGCAGCACTTTGTGAACCTCCATGTGCAGATTTCGTGGCAGGCACAACACTTTGTGAACCTCCATGTGCAGATTTCGTGGCAGGTGCAGCACTTTGTGAACCTCCATGTGCAGATTTCGTGGCAGGTGCAGCACTTTGTGAACCTCCATGCGCAGATGTCGTGGCAGGCGCAGCACTTTGTGAACCTCCATGTGCAGATTTCGTGGCAGGTGCAGCACTTTGTGAACCTCCATGTGCAGATTTCCTGGCAGGCACAGCACTTTGTGAACCTCCATGTGCAGATTTCGTGGCAGGTGCAGCACTTTGTGAACCTCCATGCGCAGATTTCGTGGCAGGCACAGCACTTTTTGCACCTCCATGTGCAGATTTCGTGGCAGGGCAATACAAAATGCGTTGTGGAGAGATAGCGAACGCACGAAAAACCTCCATGCGCAGATTTCGTGGCAGGCACAACACTTTGTGAACCTCCATGCGCAGATTTCGTGGCAGGTACAGCACTTTGTGAACCTCCATGTGCAGATTTCGTGGCAGGCACAGCACTTTGTGAACCTCCATGCGCAGAGTTCGTGGCAGGCACAGCACTTTGTGAACCTCGATGTGCAGATTTCGTGGCAGGCACAGCATCTGCGGAGCTGGAAGCTGAGAACTGGCGACTTTGTAGTACAACTTTAGTACGCGGAGCATCTGTAGAGCTGGAAGCTGAGAACTGGCGACTTTCTAGTACAACTTTAGTACGCGGAGTATCTGGGGAGCTGGAAGATGAGAACTGGCGACTTTGTAGTACAACCTTAGTACGCGGAGCAATCTGTAGAGCTGGAAGCTGAGAACTGGCGAC